ATGTTACATAAATGATCTTCCCTCAAAATTCTACACCAATGTGAATACTGCATTAATTCAGTACAATTAAAAATAATTACTGACCTAAATACATCTTTTCACGGGCAGTTTTAATTGTGGTAATTATCAAAAGTTAAAACAAACCCATTTTTGACTACTTAGGAATAAAGTAGCATTAGGAAGTTCAGAAATGTCAAAACCACAAAGACAGAACAACAATATGATCTGTCTGTTTGAATATTATAGACGAAATATTTATAATTTTATTAGGACCTGAAACTTCCTGTAAATACGTCTTTGTCACCTTGTTTCTGTCACTGCGGTGTCTGTTGTTTGAAGCCAAAAGTTATATTTAGATCATGAAACAACAATTACAAGCTGAAAAGGAATGCTTAGAGTTCCCGTCTGCTCGACCGGATGCAGTGCAAATCAAACAAAGAGATGACAGATGGCTCCAAAGATAGACAACAGGGAGGTGATGCCGCATTCTTAGCTGATGCAGGCCTTGGACTCAGGTGAGACACACCTGGGACAGGCCAGGTCTTCCTTAAAGGGCCCACACATTCAGACAGCCATCCATCCATCCACATGGCTGCACAGTGGTGCAGTTGGTAGAGCTGTTGCCTTGCAGCAAGAAGGTTCTGGGTTTGATTCCCAGCCTGGTCTTTCTGCATGGAGTTTGCATGTTCTCCCTGTGCATGTGTGAGTTCTGTCTGGGTACTCTGGCTTCCTCCCACAGTCCAAAAGCATGACTGTCAGGTTAATTGGTCTGTCTAAATTGTCCCTGTGTGTTTGTGTGTGTGCATGGTTGTGTGTCCTGTCTGTCTTTGTGTTGCCCTGCGACCCGTCCAGGTGACCCCGGCTCTCACCAGGAACATTAGCTGGAGGCACCAGCACCTCCTGACCCCACTGGGACAAGGTGTTAGAAAATGGATGGATGCTGCAGAAGTTGCTGTGAATACATTTATTTGATGCAAACATAAAGAGATGTAATAACTTTTAGGATACATTTTCACTATTTCAACAGCAAAAGGCATAAAATTATTATTTCTAAGGGAAACATGAACATTTGAATAGATTTATTTGTTTTAATGGCCACATAGTTCACTGGATTGTTTAGTTGAAAGCTCAAAATGTCACTGAACCAAAACAGAAAGGAGCAGAGATGACTGATTACAGAGAAAACATAAAGGTTATGAGCTTCAAGGTTGCTATGGTGATGGCAGAAAACACTGACAAAGAAATGAAATGTGTGTCAGAGCAGAAAAACCAGTTACACCATCAGGTGTTGCACCTCCACTCTTAACTTCCAGATCTGTTATCAGTTTGAGAATGAAAAAGTTTCCATGCCAGTTGTTAAATTAGTCAACACTTAACGTTATGTAAACCTGCAATTACTGTCATGACAAGCATCAAGTTAGCCGTGTTTCTATCATCAGTCTATATTCTATTAATGTAGAAAAATGTCATAACTTCTGTGAGTGAGACATGAAATGATCCAGATTTTTTCTGCAGTGACCTGGACGCCCTCCACTCAAAGTGAAACATGCTCTTTTTGTTGTTCTGTTTTTAACAGTCATCCTCTGATCGGGCCAAAGCAGACAGAGATGTTTCCACTGGCTCATTTTAAGACGTTTCAGTTGTTTTTGAGGAGTAACTGACTTCCATTTTCTGTAACTTAAATTCTGACTAATTATTGCCAGCAATAGTTAGTTGTTATTTTAAGCCAGACCTAATTTTTACTTTGAAGCTTGCGAAACAGCTGATAAACAAACATAAATAGTTTAATGATGCGAGTTTCTAAAAGAAATTAATAATTGTTTTTAGCTCATTTAGTATTTTTTATAGCGATCAGATCAATTATGTATATTCTGCATCCTCTTGACACAGAAACAACCAAAAGATTAGCTTTAGCATTGGGTTGTCTCTGCTTATTGTGTGTTCATTACACAGTGAAGGTCTGCTCCAGTTGTATTTAGGCTGACAAAAGTGCCTAATAATGATAATATTGTAATTTATGTGTAGCTATGTCAGGGTAGTTTTAATTTAGAAATCTAAAATCTTAACTAAATAATTTCTTAGCTTGAACTCGAAATGCACCACCTGCAGTTTTCTGGCCGATTACGGATCTTTTACAAAGCCTAACTTACCTATTTCGATTTTGGCCAATACCATTTTTTTTGTCTGAAATGTTGCTCAATATTTCAAGAAAGTTGCTAAATCGGCACCAATGGGGCGACTGTTGTTAAGTGTAAATGTGCAGGTCGGCTGGTCTGTCAGTCAAACCTCTAACAGGAGAAAAAAAAAGCGCAGTGGTTGAGTTTTAGACCTTTGCTGAGGTTAATAACATCGGTGGATAAAATCGGCTTCATATGTAAAAATGACCAAGATGACCGATTTCCCAAAATGAATGAAATTGGCACCAATAAATCGGCCGGCCGATAAATCGGTGCACCCCCACCTTGAACACTGCAGCTGCACAATCTGCTTGCATTGTTCAGCAAAAGGTAAATCTAATCTACATTTGTCCAAACTCTGAAGGCGTCTTTTCACCGTACAAAATGGAGTTAATGTAAACTTAAAGACATAAAACAAAGTGAGTTATATCTTCCACACAGATTGTAATTTTCATTTATTCCTGCTAGGGCCAGCTCTGAATTAGGACAGCATGTTTCTATAGAGCGAACCTGCTGTTGTGCATGTCTGCAGCAGGCTTCTGTAAATGTTACGTCTGAAATGCCAAAACAGGACTAGCGGAGAAAGAACAGGGTGTGATTGTTTTTTTATGTCTCACGTTTGGGAAAACAAAGTGAAACTATATGAATGGCATTCAGAGCACTGCTACCTAACAATGGAATGTCTCAGTGCAGAACAATGACAATGTGCAAATAGAGGTGAGATGTTTCACTTTTCATTTCTGTGTTTTTTCTTAATGCTGAAAATTCAACAATCAAAACACATGATTATTTGTTTTATTACAATATTTAATCCATCTGGCACATTAGAGCTTTCAGCCACCACGACCTTAAGGTGCATTCACACCCGCTTTGTTCAGTTGCTGTAATCGAACTCCAGTCCATCTGCCGGTAAAGTCTGGTTCGTTTGGGTTGGTGTGAATGTGTAATCGGACCAAAGAAGTGAACTCTGGTCCGCCTACAAACCTCGGTCTGGGTTCGGCTGAAACGAACCTGCTGCGGTTTGAATGTGAACCTCCAGTGACCGGAGTCCGTTCGAAAAACAAGAAATGGGCTACAGCGCCATGCATTCTGGGTAAATACAACCAAAACAAACATGCTAGCCTAGCGCTAGCAGGAGAAATGGCTCGGGTCTTTAGCAAAAGACGAAACAGAAATTTCCCAACTGCTAAAATCTGATGCTACTTTATTTTTGTTTACTTTTGGTGAAGAAGGAAGTTGCGCTCAATGTCTTCTGAGATTTTTGTCTTTTCCCTCAGTAGTTCCCGGTGCAGCGCCCCCACAGGCCAGGAGAGAAAAAGGTTTTTCAAAGCATTTAGTTTGACTCAGAGCAGAAAGAAAGAAAACCACATCAGCTGGAGAAGGAACAGATGTTTCAGTTTTGGTCCTCAATTAAAGCAAATCTGCTGGACTGCCAGGTATGAAAATACCTTTAATGAGTCTCAATATAAACAGAATTACCGCCTGATGAACATTTTTTATTTTATTTTATTAGGTTTATATGATAGGAACAGTCACACATTGACATAGACAAACTGAATGAAACAGCAGAGCCAGAAATGGTTCTACAAAATGGAACCTTATAATTCCCATTTAAAGCTGCTCTGGCAGATCTGCCGTCCTGCAATCTCTGTGTACAATCACTTAATTATTGTCATGGTGATAGAAAAGGAACTTAAAACCTTCTCTATGCTTTTAAACCAAGCATTTGTTTTTCCCTAAGGGTCCTAAAGGGACATGATACAGAAGCTCTGCATATTTTCATGCCGTCAATCATGTGAGAAGTGCCGATTAACCTGGAATGTAATTTGACTCGGACAATAGAAGCAATCATACAAGAGGAAACTCCTCATGATTTACTTCCCCTCTCCTATTGAAAAATAATCACTGAAATGAACTCTGCCATCTTAACTTTAGGTGATCATTGTTGAGATTTCATGAAGGTTAAACTTGATCATTTTTCTTATAGCTTGAAAATCAAGTTTCCAAGAATATTAAAAGGAAACAAAGAGTAAAAAAGCTGAAGTTGAGTTTTTTGCTATTATTTTATCCATTTTATTCCTTTGTGGTTATAAACAGGTGGAAAAAAGTAAAAAGAAACTGAGATCTATGGTATTTGGCAGCCTTGTTGACTGACAGGAAGTTACTTAATTTGGAGCCAGCAGCAGCTTTGGCATCGCTGTGATTCAGGGTTTTGCAATAAACACAAACAGAATCAGACTGGGATCAAATGTCTTTGTATCACTTTGATTTTGGTGATAAAAAAGAACAGGAAACAGCAGAGCCTCTTCTTCTATAAACAATGACAGTGACGTGTGGAGTGACAGGAAGAAATGTCTAGAACAATAAAGGCGTAATGCTGCACTAAAATCCTTCAGATGTGGTCATGCGAAAAGTTACTGCTTAAAATCAATTACTTTGCATTTTACATCATTTTATTTTAACAAACACTCCTGAAATATGAAAGGAAAATGACATTTTTATTGAAAAAATAAATTAAAACTGTTTTTATCAGGATTAAGTCCTTAAACCATTTATTTATTGAGCCCTTCATGTTTTCTTTCACTCATTTGTTCAAGAAAATGCTGTTTAATAAAGTTTAGTTATCCATTCAAAACAGAAAATTGGAAAAGTTTTTCCATCCTGTTCTTCATATGCATCTATTACAGTGAAATATTCTCTGGTTTCTGTTTGCTTGTTTTCCCAAACCAGTTCTGCAGCTGCCTCATTGTTCTCCAGCTCTCTGTTCATTCCTTCATCCTGCAACACCCCTTTGCCCTGCCAGGTGTATTTAAGATGCTGCAGGTGGACGGGAGCATCATCGCTGGAGACAGAGTTGAGCTCAGAGCATCAAGATGGCCTCCGCGGTGCTGCTTCTGCTGCAGCTGCTGCTGCTCACCTCCCTGGTGTCGGCGTCTCATCACTGGGGAGGAACCACCAGCTTCACCTACAAAGGAAGAAACCCTGATGGGACAGTTAAGGTAAAAAACACTAACATTTTATATTTAGATTTAACAGGATAATATTTATCATGAAAATGTTTTGTTTTGACAGTCGCGCTATATTAATACAACTCAAACCTGCTTCATGTCTGTAGAAAGATGATGTTAAAACTTTCCAATAAAATGGCAAAAAATAAGCAATTATCAAACAAAACTGAGGAAGATTGTGAACACAGTCATGTTCAATAAATCAGAATTTGTGTTCCAATGAGGCTTGTTTGTTAATTAACTTTTCATGAAACCCACATTTCTGTATTATGTTTTCTTTTAATTAACAGAAATAAAAACTTAAAATCATTAGTATGTGTGGAATTAATCTGTGGTTCACATAGTGATGGATTTACTGAAATAATACAATTTAAATAATTTCATGAATTATTGAATCTTCTTTATTACGTCTTTATTTTTTATTGCATTATTAAATCTTCTTTCTTTTCTTCAAGACTTTTGAGATAATTACCCACAATTTAAAAAATTATAAAAATGTAACTAACTGATTGATGAAAACATTTTAAAACCATTTTCTTGCTTTACAGCTACTTCAATTTCAAATGAAAAAAAAAACCTCTTAAATATGTTTTAGTATTGATTACCTAAAACAAAAAGTTTCAACCTTTTTCAAAAATTATAAATCAGTCATTTAATGAATGACTGAACCATCTTGTGCTGTAAAGTTTAATATTTTCTTGTAACATTTCACCCACAGATGTCCCTCCGAACCAGAGATACTTATGATGCCTGTTATTATTACCACTACTGGTATTGTTACGGTAGCAACTGTGGCTATGCAAACACTCGAGTCAGAAGTCAAATTGACACAAGCACCAATACTCCATCCTACGAAAACAGTTGGTGCGAAACAGAAACTGTTGAGACATGGACCCTCCCCAGTGACAAACCCTTCAATCTCAGGTGAGCATTTTTACAAATGTAAAAATATATTCATATTTGAAAGAATGGAATCACTTTCAATATCATCGTTCATGTTATGAAAAGCTGTTTTTGGTGGCAAAATATACATGAAGCTTTATCTTGTCCTGTCCTTTTAAAATATCAGGGCATCTAGCTGCTGCTGGATCTCAACACGTAACTCGGTTAGTAACTGGAACTTCGATTCCCACATGGATTTCGGAACGAGGTCGGACACAAGACAACCAAATAAATCACCCGATATTGCCATTGTCCCCTTCTTAAGGTAACCATCCTTTGGTTTCTATAACTGATCTACATTTAACACAATCAAATGTAAAGAATGAACCAAAATATCTTTATTATTTTCAATGTGATTTCCATCAAGTCAATGTCAGAGACTTTGAAAATACTTTTTTTCTTGGTTTGCTGATTTTACAACTTGTGTTTGCACCTAATGAAGAGTTCCTCAGAACTGCCCCAGAACGTACAGGCTGGCTGCCTTTGACCCTGATGGTGACCGAGTCCGCTGCAGGTATGGGAATCAGCAAGGATACGAGTGTGACAACTGCCATCTCCCTTCAGGCTTCCAGCTTGACCAGGTCAGTCACATATTTCAAATTATATTATTAGCTCATATAAAACTGTGATGATTAACTGTTTAATTAGTATGTGTTTATTTTTCCAGGATTCTTGCACTTTACATTACCAGTATACCAATTCCGACTACAGAATCTTTGGTTTTGAGATGGTGGTAGAAGATTACGCACAAGGCACTATTGATTTGTTCTACTCTGATGGATCAAGTGTTCGCAAGTATCCACTGCCTTCAAGGATGAAGAGACAAGCCTACAACTCATGGTGGTGGCAGACCACCACTGCACCAACTACAACAAGCAACCCATGGTGGTGGTGGCAGACTACCCCTGCACCAACAACTACAACTACAACTACACCTACAACAAGCAACCCATGGTGGTGGTGGCAGACTACCCCTGCACCAACAACTACAACTACACCTACAACAAGCAACCCATGGTGGTGGTGGCAGACCACCACTGCACCAACTACAACAAGCAACCCATGGTGGTGGTGGCAGACCACCACTGTTCCCACAACTAGACAAAGTGTGAGCAGTACTCCCCTTAGTAAGCAACCTCTGCAGTTCTCTTTTCTAGGTAAGAACACATTTACTGGTTTCAGTAAATAACTGGCCATAAAGTGCCATAAAGTTCGTCTTTTTTTCAAGCCAGACCCACTGATAGTGTTGTAGTAAAGGTTAAATAAAAGCTGAATACCATTTCATACCATAACCCTTAACTCTTATTTCTAGGGGATAAGCTTAAGGGAACAGATTTATACGCAGGTCTGGTGCTGAGAAATGAGACTAACCCTAAGAAATGGGATTCAACTCCAGTCTCACCGTTCCAGTTAAAGTCCCAGAAGAGTTTACTTGTGTCATAGTAGGAAAAAAATTAGGATCTAGGTGGAAACAGTTGAAACTCAAATTTTCATACCTCTGGCAAATACTTGGATCAATATTTTTTTTTGCTTGTTTCTTCTGAGTGAAAATTTTAGTAAACTTTTAGACCAGTACTGCCAACGACCCAACTACCCGGTCCAGGTGTGGGACCTGGTGGTAGGAAACCGCTTTAACACAAAACCTTTGAATGGAGGCAAAGAGACCTTTTGATCTCAAAGACTGTGAGCTCATCACCAACAGTAAATCGTCAAATTTCCTTTTCAAAAGTGGTTAAGACAAATAGGCCTCAGTGAGACGCAGTATTCTTCAGGGAACAGAAAATCATAGATTGTGGAATGTGGGGACTTGTTTATCATTTCCCAATGTTGTATTTTTTCCTTAATAAATGTACCCAAAGTAGAGGTTGGTTCCCCTTTTTCTCCATGTGTGCCTGGAAGTGTGAATGTAGCCAGATTACCAGACCCTTTGACTGATATATACGAAAATCTTTCATTCAGAAGTAAAGTATAATGCAAAATGGTTAAGTACCAAGATAAGTGAGGAAAACAAGGTTATATTATGGCTATTTAAAGTTTCTTTCTTTTTATTCCCCAGTGGACCCGCCCGTTCCCTCATGTCAGGAGGGTCTCTACCTGCCTAAATTTGTGGCTCCGACACCTTCACATGGAGCACGGATCACGGCTGAGGTCAACAAAGAGGTGGAGATCAGAGTCAAGGCAACTGCAGCATATTCATCGTAAGTTACCAGAGTTTACTTAAGGCTGATGCCAAAGAGAAATCAACACTGATGACATGATAACTTCTGCTTTGTTTGTCACCCAGAATCCAAAACATCATCTTCAGTGGGCCAACAAACGTCACCAAGCACAGGGACACGAATAACGACTTTGTCATCAGGTGGACACCAGCAGAAGACGACCTGGGAGAACAATACCCAATCTGCTTTGTGGTGGAATCAGTGAGCGGGTGAGACCAGGACTTAGTTCATCTTTTGTCTCTTTTATTTTTCACCTCAGCCATGAGGCAAACTCTTCATAACAGACCAAACAGTCTTTTTCCTCATTTAATGTACATGTTAGGGATGTCAGGGTGTGTTTCCCATTGTTAAGTTGATGAGAATAGCAGTAGCACAGTAGTTGAACACAGTAGTTATTTCATATACGACAGAAGTGCTTTTAGTCAAAAGGAAAATGAAACAGTTTCTTGTAATACATTTTCAGGTCCTCTGCCTATCAGTCTGAGATGAGGTGTGTTCTGGTGGAAATCCAAAGGCATCAAAGTAAGTCTGAGTTTACGGAAATACCTTCAGTATGACGGATAAAACAGTTCCATCGATCAGTGGAGACAATGTTACAGAAATTATTCATGTTAGTTTAAATTTCAGGCTATTTTTTGTTGCCTACTAATTATTTAAAACATCTGTTTGTTCCAGTTGAAGCCACAGTGACCTGCACCGAATCCACAATGAAGGTTGAGGTTGACAAAACTTCCTTCTTTGGACTCACCGAGGATCATCTTCGCCTCAGTGACCCCAGCAACACCATCTGCAGCCTTCGGAGGCACTCCAACAGCTCTCACATCGTCGCCATCATTCCCCTCAACGAATGTGGGACTCAGATCGAGGTGAGAGCGGTTTGATGCATCACACTCATTACCTCCAGTCAGTCCCCTGTTTTAACACAGACCACTCCCTCTGCAGGAAGACGACGACTACCTCATTTTCAAGAATGAGATCACGACGGGCAGTGATGACCCAAATGCTCTGATCACCAGGAAGCACCTGGTGGAGGCCCGGTTCTACTGCCAGTACCCCAAACGGGGGAATGTGACGCTGAACTTCAAAGTGCACAGAAAGAACGTCACGGTGTGGGAGAAAGGCTTCGGCACCTTCACATACCAGTTTGAGTTCTACCAAAGCAATCAGTTCCGGGCCATGTTCAGTCCAAACTCATACCCGCTGGAGTACAACGTTGGAGACAGGATCTACATGCAGCTGGACGCCAGCTCCTCTGTCAACAACACCGAGATGTTTGTGGAGTCCTGCAGAGCTTCACCGTATGACAACCCCAGCTACCATCCAACCTACTCCATCATTGAGAACGGGTGAGGCGAGGCTTTCCATCAGGTTAAAACATGCCTGATAACTGATAACTGATTTTGGCTAAGACATGCAGATAAAATGACAAAAATCAAATTAAAATGTCAAAATATTCATATTTAAAACTGCCAAAACAAGCAGGTTAGTTAAGAGAATTTTATTTAAAGCTAAATTTTCTATAAAAAAGCCAAGAAAAGAACCAGTTTATTTGATCAACTCCTGAAGATGTTTGACGATGATGAGGATAATGGTTCCATCTATATGTTTTAAATCTAATCCAGTTAACATGAGCCTTTGGTTTCCATCAGGTGCAATGTTGACCCGACTCTGCAGATCCACTCCACCCCCAACGACAGGGAGTTCAGGTTCAGCATTGAGGCCTTCAAGTTCATTGGGCTGCATGATCAGGTGAGCAATAGACCGCACTGGAAAAGGTTTTAATTGAATTGGAGTTTTTCCACCAACTGAATATAGTTTGCATCTGTTTGTGTATAAATTTTTGAACAAAAGTAGCAATTTTTATGTAAAATAACAAATTATTAACATATTGTATATGAAAACAAACACCAGAGGGAGTGGTTTCTGTTCATGGCTGTGTTTTTGAGTTCAGGTGTACATCAGCTGCACCGTCATGATGTGTGAAGCAGGAAACCCCAACACCAGGTGCTCAAGGGGATGCAGCAACTCCACGATGCACAACTTCCGCAACAAGAGAGAGGCTGTGATCGAGAGCGGAAAGCACTTCGTTTCCCAGGGTCCTTTGCGTCTGAAGCGTGAAGCGGACCCCAGAGGAGGCTCAGGTGAGGAGATGGTATGATGAGGTTTATGAGCAGCAGATAAAATGTGGACAGGACTCCATCAGCACCGTGTTCCTCTCGTCTGCAGCTGTCAACCTGAACCTGAACCTGGTGTTTGTGGCTGGATGTCTCCTTGCTGCTGTTGGGATGGTCTGCGGCGTCATCATCTACAAAACCAAAACCTCCAGGGTCAAATACCAACCTCTGCCTGCATATGAGAGCTAGAACTGGAACATTGTTGCTGTAATGTGAGATCTTGGGTGTTTCTGAAGTAATGCAATTTTATAAACTAATGTAGACGCAAACAGCTGAATAAATTACCAGTTATGTTGTTTTATGCTGAAGAGAAAGATCCAACTGGAAATATAAAGTTCCTATTAAGCAAAACTGGAAGAAAGTTCTTCACTTGGTACTGCAGTTGCTGAGTTACTGTTCTGTCATGAAAATATGTTTCCTCCTGCTCTGTAATGCACTATATGATGAAGGTAGCACAGATTAAATGTTTGTTTTAATTAGTCAGTTTTGAACTAAGTTGCCTCAGTTATATATTACTTTTTAAAAAATTATTTCTAACTTTTTATGTTATTTCTTTTGTTTAAGGGTGGATTTGGTATTTCTAAATGGCTCAATAAAAAGACTCTTAAAAGATGCAAATGTTTTTCAGTGAAATTTGTGAATCATTTGTCTGTTCTGTGACTTTAGCTCTACCAGTTTTGTCATCACACCCTGCAGATTCATTTCATAAATGAAGATTTAGGCTTATTGAATAATTATAAGGAATCCTCACCAGGTCACTGTTGAAATTTGAGCTTGGTGGATTCATATTTTCTAATGGTGGAAAATGTGAATTTTGTGATCAGTTCTTCTGTCTCTTCACTTCTGGTCATTTCATCCCATGAGCCACACATGGGATCCTGCCAACGGCGCCAAAATTATGGTGACAAACAAGTATTAAATAACCAGAGTCATGTGACTGAGAAAATGTTGAATGAGACAATAATTAACATGGAGCACATAAATAGCAGCATGCATATGAGTTCTGAGTTCTCTCCAATGGATGGGCCTTTTCTCAGACACTAGTAGCTTTTTTACTTTCTTCCACCTGCAGCTTCAGGATCAGAGCTTCCCAAGTTTGCACTCCTGCGCAAAGCTTCAAAAATCTATTTAAAATTGAGACTGAAAACTTTTGAAGCAATGAATTCTAATAAGCCATTTTCAGCACTGGATAGAAAACGTGTAACTAGGCCTGTCACGATAAACGATAAATCAATTAATCGCACGATAAATTAAACCTATCGACCTCATTTTAATTGATCGTCTCTTCCTGCCGTTTTTCTTTCTGTGATGACACTGAATGAAAAAAGGCTCAGCTCCGGTCTC